AGGAGCGAATGCTGAGGCAGCGAAAACGCAGTGTGGAAGCCTGTGTGCGCCCTGTGCCGCAGTGCCTCTTGCCACACTGTGTCGCCCCGGCTGACCCTGTGCCCGCTGGAGGGACCTCTCTGCCCCCGCCTCTTCCGCGGGACGGATGTCCAGCACAGTTGCGTCGTAGCAAGCTGAGTGTGCATGGTGAGAGGAACTGCCATGCCCCTGTTCCAGAAATTCCGTTTCATTGGTGGTTTCCGCCCTTCCGCGCGTCTGCAGCTTCCCCAGGCGACCCGCAACCAGGCGAATAACCCTTCCCGTGGCCGCCCGCCCGGAGTTTGCAGCCCCCATGACGTCAGGCCCAACGGCCAATGGCGGGGCACTGGGGGTTGGGGACCTCACAATGGCCGCGCGCGGGTGCATATGTCCCCAATTAGGGCCGGGCGCCGCCATTGTCCCTTCGTCGCCCCCTCCTCCCGTTGGAGTCTCTGAGCTGAGCTTTCCCCACACAGCCCGATCGGACTAGCGACTATGGTCATGGAGCGGCAAGCTGGGATTGCAGCGCAGTGACCTTATACGGACTGGCCGGGCGGGCGCAGACGCCAGGGCAGCGCAGCAGAGCGGAGCTCAGCTCCCCTCCTGCTGCGTGCTTGCCTGCTACCTGCATCCACTGCCTCGCGTCCGGCCACGGTGGATGTGAGCTACCTGTCCCACACTGAGCGTGGAGACCACTCGCCTGCTTTATGCTAGCGTCCCAGCTCCTCAGCGACCGGACATTCATCTTGCGTGGCAGGCGCTCCCGAGGGGTAGGGCGGATACGGCCTCCCCCTTATCGCTGAGCAGCAGCCGGTGAAGCTCGCAGTGGGGGGTGGGGGACGAGGGTTCCCCGCCAGCCTTGCCACTAGTCCCGGCACCTTCCCAGAGGGGAACGGCTCAGGCGCAGCCGGAGGCGTCAGGCCAATTAGCATTTTGATTGCTGGACGGGGGTGGGGGGTTCATCTGGAACAAGGTCTAATTACCAGACGGACCCTCGGGGCTCAGGCAGGCTCGATCCCCCCTCACCCTCCGTTTGCTGCCTTCTTCTGGACATTGTCCCTGCCCCCAACTCTATCTTCCTACTTCCTCTAGGTCCCCACACAGGCCTGGTCATCCTGTCTAGTTCTGTCCCTATACTTTGCCTCTCGGGTCCCTTCTTTATTAGTCGTGGTCCTTTGGCCCTCCAGTCTTTCCTGGGTCGATTCCCATTCCTCTGTAGCTCTGTGCTCAACTCTTTTCTCCACCCCTTCATATAATCTGTCCTCATGTTTAATACACATCCCTTCCCACCCCCTCGTCCGTCTCCCCTCTTCTTTGGGCCAGAACCCCTTTCATGGGAGAGAGACCGTGCCTGGACACACGTGCTCTTGGGTCTCAGGGGCAGGCAACATGTAGGGAATCATTCAAACAGGCCTTGCTCTGGCATGGTAGATCCCTCAGGACTCCCTCCCCTCCATCACAGGAGCGGGGCGGGGGCACAGCTAGGAGGGTCAGCTAGGTCCAGGCCTTGACCATCAGTTCCCACCAGCCCCCGTGCATGGAGCACATGGGACCCAGGTGCAATTACTTGGGCATTCCAAATAGCCTTGTGAACCTGACTCCCTGCCCCCCACTTTGATTTAGAGAGTCCCCAGCCCCTTGATCCAACCAGAGAGTTGAATAGTTGACCACTCATTTTGGCAAGTTGTAAGCTCCTTTACCCAAGGCCCCACTGAGTCCCTTCCATTGAGAGTTCCAGCCTGAGAAGGCTTTGTTGCTATAGAGGAGCAAATAAGCCCTCAGTCAGTGGATAATTGCAGGCCCCACTATCCTGGCCCTCCCAGCAGCTCCCACAATACCTCCTTGTGAGTCTCTCCTGCTATTTTGGTCTAACTTTTATCCCCTTCCTTCCTTTCTTTCTTTCTTTCTTTTAAAGATTTATTTATTATGTATACAGTGTTCTGTCTGCATGTATGCCTGATGGCCAGAAGAGGGCACCCAGATCTCATTACAGATGGTTGTGAGCCATCATGTGATTGCTGGGAATTGAACTCAGGACCCCTGGAAGAGCAGTCAGTGCTCTTAACCTCTGAGGCATCTCTCCAGCCCTCTTTAATCCCTTTTCAGGACCCCTGGAAGAGCAGTCAGTGCTCTTAACCTCTGAGGCATCTCTCCTGCCCTCTTTAATAAGGGTCTCAGTATTTGGTCTATGTTTGTCTTCCTCTGCTGCTGTTGCTACCACCCACAGTTCTGCTCAGGTTTTAGGGGGGTTAAGGGAGATATGGGTTGGGATAGTCCCATTGTGTTGCCAACAGCCCAATGATGCGTTCAGGCCCTTGTGATCCTGTCACTGCTATGTCCACCTAGAGAACCAATAGACAGCCTCATTGGGGTATCCACACCTGGGCTGAGACAGGTGATTGACAGCTTCTGTGGTGACTGGCTGAATGAGATCATTAGCAGGAAGAGGTCAAGGCTGTAGTGATAGGGAAATGGAGGCTAGTCCTTGAGATTAATTGAGCCACAGTGATGGGTAGGGGCTGGCCAATGTAGCTAATGACATGTCTGAGCTAGGAGTCCTGGAAGATAATGAAAAGGGGTCTGCAAATTCAGTAAGGAACAGGTGACAAAATACCTTATGACAAGCCAGGGACATCTGTGATGAGAGAAACAGTAGCCTCCAAAAAGGGCTGTGTGGTTAGGGGATAGCACAAAGGGAAGTTACATCTCCTGAGCTCACTAGGATAGGTTGAAGGAAGGCCTACTTGAAAAGGCCTAAAGGGCAAAGCTAACTTGGCCCCCACTGAGGCAGAAACATTGCAGGCTGTGCTAGTTACTTCACCACTGTAACTGGTATCACAAGGAAGGAGGAAATGTTTGTTTTTAGGTCATAGTTTTAGAGGTTTCAACCCCTGGATTCTCTATTGTTTCTGGGCCCTGTTTAGGCAGATCATGAGAGAAAAGCAGAGCAAAAACAGTTACTTCAAAGCAGCCAGGAAGCAGAGAGGGATAGCTTGGGGGGCAGATGAGGGGGAGTGCTGGACAAGGTACATATTTCCAAATCACAACCCCAGTATTGTTTCCTCCAACTAGGCCCCACCTACCAATTTCTACCATTCTCACCTGCCCACTTTTTTGTTGTTGTTTTGAGACAGGATTTCTCTGTATAGCCTTAAGCTGTCCTGGAACTCACTTTGTAGAACAGGCTGGCTTCCAACTCAGAGATCCACCTGCCTCTGCCTTCTCTGAGAGCTGGGATTAAGGGTATGTGCCACCACTACCCAGCTACTACCACTTTCTAATAATGCCATAATAGGATTCCACCAAAAGATTAACAAGTCCCGGCACTCAATCAGTTTCCAAATGCTCCACTCCTGAACTTTGCTGGGAATCAGACCTTCAACATGTGAGCCTTTTGGAGGAATACTTTATATTCAAACAGTGACAAAAGCCAAAGTGATAAGGGAACCACGAGAGAGTCTGGATCGCAGGGCAATGGTGGCTCATGCCTTTAATCCCAGCACTTGGGAGGCAGAGGCAGTCGGATTTCTGTGAGTTCATGGCCACCTTGGTCTATATGGTGAGGTCGGACAGCCAGTGCTGTTACACAGAGAAACCCTGTCTCAAAAAGAGAGAGAGAGTCACCGGGCATCGGTGGCCCATGCCTTTAATCCCAGCACTCGGGAGGCAGAGTCAGGTGGGTCGCTGTGAGTTCAAGGCCAGCCTGGTCTCCAGAGCGAGTGCCAGGATAGGCTCCAAAACTACACAGAGAAACCGTCTCGAAAAACCAAAAAAAAAAAAAAGAAAGAAAGAAAAGAAAGAAAGAAAGAAAAAAGAGAGAGAGAGAGTCTGGATCACAGCACAACACAACCATAGTTATGTCCATGAAAAGTAAACAAAGCACAAGAATCTGAGTTCAAGCACTTGAACCCATAGAAAAAAGCCAGGCATGGTGGTGGCATGCACTTGTAATCCCAGCACTGGGGAAATAAGAGCCAGGAAGATACCCTGAGCTCACTGGCCAGTCCGCCTAGCCTCTTGGTGATCACCTGCACATGCACAAACACCTGCACACATGATCTCACCTGCACATGCACAAACACCTGCACACATGATCTCACCTGCACATGCACAAACACCTGCACACATGATCTCACCTGCACATGCA